CCCCCGCCGGGTGCAGCACCCTGCTTGCTGCAGCAGGGCACACAGAGCCTCTGCAATCCAGCACCTCTACAGTCCTTCCTTGGTTGTCGCCCTTGCCCGTGCGGAGCGAGCGCCCATGAGCTGCCCGCTGCAGACGGAGGAAACCAGGCTGCAGGTCTCCTGCCCAGGACAAAGCATCCGGAGTCCACGTGGGATTTAATCTCTGCTCAGTCATTACTGCTTCTAGATACAGCACAAAACTGTATTTTCCATAGGCAAAGAAGCCGTGTTACTACCCCGCCGTTACAGGCACAAGCTCTCCAGGCCAGGAGGAGAAATGAGTTATCCAAAGTGTTCAAAAGCAGAGGGAAGCGCCCGGAGCAGCCCCCGACCGGCACAGCGGGGCTCCCTCCAGCCCGCCCCCCTCTGCACAGAGCACGAGCATGAAAAATGCAGCCGCACGTGCAAGGAAAACCTGCAAGTGAACAGGGAAAGGGGCCGGGAGTCTGGTCTGGATAAGCCTGCAGGAACACTGGAGATTACAGTGTAAATAAACACACACCAAATAAACCTAAAGCTAATTTGCAACTCTGCTGAGTAGATTAAAACCAAGCAAATAGATTTTACTCCTGTTTGTTTTTCCAATTTTGGAAAAGCGAAACGCTTTTGTGGGTTGAGCTCTTGAGACTTTCTAGGCCGCTGCTCAGAGGAATTAGCCCTTGCTTCAAGGAGCCCCGGCCTTCCTGTGAAAACCTCCCTGCCCCTGTTTGCCCCACTGACCTGCCATCAATCTCCCATCCCTCTGGAAACGCCTCCTGCTCTCTCTTCCCCTCAGTTATCATTTAATTCAGGAAAGCACTTAGGGAATAGCGCGTGTGAAAATGGCCGGGGACAAACAAAGCCGCTTTAACCTGACAACGAGCAGAGCCCCGTCGCCTTCTCCTGTCCCTGCAGCACCACAGTAAGGACACTGCAACCCCTGCACCCCACAGGACTACATAGGGACACTGACACCCCTGCACCCCACAGCAGGGACACTGCAACCCCTGCACCCCGCAGCACCGCATCAGGAACACACTGAGTCTTTCCCTAGCAATCAGGGGTGTTGTTGTCTTCCCACGGGAGAAAAAGGTGCCTTTAAAGAAGGTTTTATACTTGGGCTTCCTCCAGGCGCTTCTGGAATTCATCACTCGGCTATTCCTGGTGAACAAGGGCTTGAGCTTGAACCTGTTTCAGACGGGACCAACCCACCCTGCCCTGAGCCACCCAAGGCCAAGTCTCCCCCGGCCAGGAGCGCGGGGGGCCGGGACCCCTGCCCAGCGTGTGGACGGGGCCGCGGGGGGACCGTGCAGTGCCATGAGGACTCGTCCACGTGCTGCTCGCCTGGCCCTGCCTGCCCAGCGCGGCCACAGCAAATTCCCCCGGTGGGAGAGCCCTGTTCCCGGCCGGCTGCCGCGACACCTTTTGGGAATAATCCAGCCCTTGCTCCCATCACCCCGACCCTGGATTCTCCTCTCTCCAGAGCTCCTGCCTGCCCCGTTCCCCGCGGTATCGCCGGGTCCTGGCACTGCCCCCGCCCCAGCTGCCCTCTCCCCTTCTCCAAACCTCTCTTCACRCTCCCCTTTGCCACCCCGGCCACGTGGGCTCCCTGCTCGGGCTCTGTGCTGCCCCTCACTTTGCAAAGAGAAGTGCTTGAGTTGGGGTCTTTTCACTCTGTTCCTTAAGCCAAAATCATGTTTTATCCCCTGGAGCGTCCCACAGCGCTACCGTGTCGTGCCGGGAGCCTGTGCGGCCGGGACCCCCTTCCCAGCAAGGGCGGAGGGTTCCCCTGCTCCCGTGGGGTGCCCAGCGCCCGCCTGGACCTCGCCGCACACACACGGATGGAGCCCGGGCTCCCACAGGGCGGGCGGCTCTTCCCATCCCTCCTCCACAAGGTCCCGTGGGCTGCCCGGGACCACCCCATACAGCCCCCTCCTAAAAACACGGTTAAAAACACAAGAGTGCGGCGAGCAGGCTGGGAGCTGCAAGGGAAGGGAAACGCGCGGCGCCTCTCCCAGAGCCGGCCGCAAAATCCTCTCGTTCCTAGAAAACAGGATGCGCTGCCGGAGCCGCGGAGCCGCCGGGGAGCAGCCGTGGGCAGGATGCCCACGTGGCGCCACGGGAGCCGGGCCCGGCTTCTCCAGCTGAAGAAACAGGGGAAAGGGAGCGGACCAAGGCAGCCGAAGCAGGGACATYGCACTGGCCCTCGTTTCGGAGGCCGCTCCTTCTTCCTTGTCTTGCCCSCATGTCCCCATGGCCTCTTGGTGCTGGTTGGACTCCAGGATGGGTGCTCTGTGCTCGCAGGAGGCCAGGCTCCAGCTCCTCGTGTCCTCAGCTCCGATGAGTGACAAGTCCCGCACGGGAAGGGCCTGGCAGTGGGGGCTCCCCTTCCATGGACCCGATGGCTGCCCAGGAGCCTTTCCTTGGGCCAAGCTCTCCTTGCACCCACACAGGAACCCACACCAGGAGTCGCCTCTTGGCTTGTCCCGGGCTCTCTGCTGCTCCGCGCAAGGCACGCTCACCTGCAAATAGGCATTTGTAGTGATAAAAATTCACAGAAGATTTTAGGTAAATACAAAAATTTACTTAAGCTTTCATGTAAAATCCAAAGTCCCTCAAGGACCATCATGTCCACATGTTCTGGCCTTACCATGTTACAAGCCGTAACTTTCCCAAAGGAAATTTTAGTTAATACTAAACACATTTTTTTTTTTAAGGAAAAACATATCCTTTTGATCTTAAAACTACCAGTGTGGCCAGTTCACACACACACAAAAAATATTTTATTTTATTTATTTTATTTTATTTTATTTTATTTTATTTTATTTTATTTTATTTTATTTTATTTTATTTTATTTTATTTTATTTTATTTTATTTTATTCCACAATTACCAACGGTGTAAAAAAACTGCTCCTTGTTTTAAAGTGTATTTAATACTTTGGGTCTACCCATGCAGACACTTCCACCCATTGCTTTTCTACATCCCCAGGCCTATTAAATGACGGTGTAAGGTCTGGGCCCTATGAAACCTGGTAGGAAAACCGCACTCAGAGCAGAGACATGGGCAGAAGAGAAGGACGCTGGTGTCCAAGATGACCAGTAAATATCCCCCGACCAGTAAATATCCCCTGGCCTGGCCTTTGTTGGCGGCGCTTTGCCGCTTAGCTCCTCGTTGAGGAGCCGGCCGGGCATTTCTGCACCCTCAAAGGCTCCACAAAACGCTCCCGCTCTCATTTGCAACTGAAAGTGCCTGGAATGAGGCAGGAGTCCACAGCCGCGCTCTGCACAAAGGCCTCGCCAGGAGCCGGGCGGCTGCCGGGGCGCAAGGATCCCCTGGAAGGGCCGGCAGCGCCGCGCTCATCGCGGAGGCTTTGGGGGATCTGCTTGTCCCGCTCCCGGGAAGCTGCAAACAGCCGCCCTGGGCAATGGGGCCCGTGCTCCCCTGGGCCCGTGCTCGGCGCCGACGGCTCCAGCAGGACCACGGCCCRTTCAGCCCTTCCCGCGTGGTGCCCGCACGGATGCCGAGCAGGGAAGCAGGCAGCACCTGGCTCCCCCGATCCGCCGGCAGCTCCGGCCGATGGGTTCCAGCACCCGCTGGATTCAAGCCCCGCGAGCCCTGCGGATGGGTCCCGCTCCCCGCGCGCACCCCGGCCCACGGCCCCTTCCCTCCCACGAGCTGCGGAGCCGCCCGGGGCAGCCGGAGGAGGGAGAAACCCGGCCGCGCTTTGGGCTGCAGGGGAATGTGGAGGAAAGGGAGACCCYGGCACCCGAAACTGCCCTTGGAGGGGTCTGGAGGGCGGCACTGACCAAGCGCCCGCGGTCACCACAGCCCCCCGTGCCCTCACAGGCGCTGTCCCCATCCTGGGGCGCACAGGGACACAGTGGGGGCCGGGCAGGGGGCACTGGGTGGACACGGAGCCGGGGAGCTGCACGGAACCGGCCGCAGGCCTCGGGGAGGGGAGGGCACGCGTGGGACACGGGGGGCACAGCTGTGCTGCACGGGGGGCACACTGGGGCACACTGGGGCACACTGGGGCACACGCACTGCACACACACTGCACACACCGGGCACATGCACTGCAAACATGGGGCACATTGAGGCACACGCAGCTTACATGGGGCGCACACGCAGGGTACACACAGGGTACATGTAGAGCCCATGCACTGCACACGCATTGCACACACGGGGCACATGCAGTGTACACGCGGTGCACATTGAGACACACGCAAGCTTACACGGAGTGCACACACAGGGTACATGTAGAGCCCATGCACTGCACACGCATTGCACACACGGGGCACATGCATGGCACACAGGACGCACACTGCACAGATGGGGCACGTGCAGAGCACATGTGGGGGCGCATGCAATACACATCAAGGCACACACGTGGCACATGCAAGACACATACGTGGCACACGCGGCATACACGTGTGGCACACGCAGGACACACACAGGACAAAAACAGGACACATGCGTGGCACACGCAGGAAACACACGTGTGACACGTGTGGCACACACAGCACACAYGTGTGGCACACACAGCACACATGTGTGGCACACACGCGTGGCACACGCAGGCTCTGCCACCCAGGCCCGGCACCCCGCGGGTGCAGGCCGCGGGGCCGTGGGGGGGTCCGCAGCCCTGCAGCCCCCGGCGGGGGGCCCGGCCGATGGCGGCGGCGGCAGCGTGGAAAGTGCGTCTGCGAATGCGGCGAGCGCGGCGAGCGCGGCGAGCGCCGCG